ATCAGTTTGGATCAGCACTAGGTTACAAATAAAGATAGCATTTATTATTATGCTAGCGAGTGTTTAAAACCGTGTCTCCATCTTGGAGGGCAGCAAATATTTCAAGTTTAGAAGAAACAAGTTTGCCATAAAAGAAGAAGATTTAAGCATGATCATTGTTTTAAATAACGGCTAAAGTTATTTCGTTTATACTGATGCAATTGCCAAAAAAAAAAATACGCTACAGAGCAAATAAAAAAATGATTCATAATGATATGGCGGTTGGTCAGAATTAATTGGGCAAAGCATGTATAAGTGGCATTCTTACCGTTGTGGTATAAGTATATATTTTTTCAAAAATCTATTTATTATCTTACGTTAACGCAAACATGATTTGAAAAACCACCCATTTTGAAAAATAAAAGGGTGTTTTAGTTAAGACAGCTAAAACAAAATTAACGTAAGCAATCTTTTTTGATGTGGTTTTAATAATAATAATAATAATAATAATAATAATAATAATAATAATAATAATAATAATAATAATAATAATAATAATAATAATAATAATAATAATAATAATACACAAAGCATTACTTAGACCAACATCAATAATGTTAATAAGTAGTAGTTGCAGCAGCAGCAGTAGTAGTAGTAGTATTTCCAACAGGCAATTATATTATTACTTGAAACAAACGATTCATCAAATATTACTTAATCCAATTGTCTAAGAGTTGTTTGCTTTCATCAGAATTACTTAAAGTTACAATTTGTGTGAGGAAATAAATTTTCCAATCAAGTGAAAGTTAGCTGTACTGATAAAAATTCGAATATATTTCCCTTGCATTAATCTTATTTGTATTATTGTACGAGGTGATGAAAAATATGAAAGTATCGGCAAGGTTTAGAAGAATATTAATATAACTTAGATTTAATCCATTAAAAAATTATGTAATAAAATCAAGTTGTTGTTTTAAAAACATTTTGGAAAGGATAAAGTACGCAAAATTTGAATGATAACGACAAGTATAGACCGACCTTTAGTAAGATTTGCTGTGTAGAGATGGAAAACAGGATGAAACCATTATTAAGACTGTAGCGAAAGCATATACGAAGGAGATTATATGTATATGATGCACGAATCAAGAACTTTATATAATGCCAACATTAAAATGATTAAACATTATTATTATTATTATTATTATTATTATTATTATTATTATTATTATTATTATTATTATTATTATTGTTATTATGATCATCATCACCACCACCACCACCACCATCATCATCATCATCATCATCATTATTATTATTATTATTATTATTATTATTATTATTTTTATTTTTATTATTATTATTATTATTATTATTATTATTATTTATGCCTATGACATAATTATTTAACATTATAATTAAGCAAAACTTTCTGTAACATTCAGAATAATGAGAGTGAGTGTTCAGTTTCACTTTAATTTAAAAAAATATAGACCATGCTTGATATAAAACATAAATATTTAAAATCTCTTTCCTTTAATCATTAATTAAGTATTGCTCTCGTCACAAGTCATATTTTACATTTTCAGAGTTTATCTGCCTGGCATAACATAATATCAGGGCACCTATCTTTACACCAAATTTTGGTAGGATTGTATTCATGAGTTATTCCAATAACCTATAGGCATTTGTTTATGGTTTGAACCGAATTAAATATCAGGTTAAATAGTTTGTGGAAACTTTAATGAATGTGTGTACCATTATTATTATTATTATTATTATTATTATTATTATTATTATTATTATTATTATTATTATTATTATTATTATTATTATTATGATCATCATCATCATCATCACCACCACCACCACAACCACCACCACCACCATCATCATCATCATCATCATCATCATCATTATTATTATTATTATTATTATTATTATTAATATTATTATTATTATTATTATTATTATTATTATTATTATTATTTATGCCTATGAAATAATTATTTAACATTATAATTAAACAAAACTTTCTGTAACATTCAGAATAATGAGAGTGAGTGTTCAGTTTCACTTTAATTTAGAAAAATATAGACCATGCTTGATATAAAACATAAATATTTAAAATCTCTTTTCTTAAAATCATTAATATTTGTATTGCTCTCGTCACAAGTCATATTTTACATTTTCAGAGTTTATCTGCCTGGCATAACATAATATCAGGGCACCTATCTTTACACCAAATTTTGGTAGGGTTGTATTCATGAGTTATTCCAATGAACTATAGGCATTTGTTTATGGTTTGAACCGAATTAAATATCAGGTTACATAGTTTGTGGAAACTTTAATGAATGTGTGTACCATTATTATTATTATTATTATTATTATTATTATTATTATTATTATTATTATTATTATTATTATTATTATTATTATTTGCCGTGGCAACTATTAAAAAATATTCTACTGATTCGACTGCTTCTACTGATTTCCAGTTGAAATGAAAGTCTAAAGTCTCATAGTCATTGTTTCCATATAACTAAATTTTTCATATATTAAATTGTATAAAATACTAAAATCTGACAAAGTACAAAAAAATTAGATAACTTGTCTTCTTCAAGAAGTGTTTACTCTTTCCCAAGTAAAATAATTCGATAAGGTTTACAAGCGAACGGTATTTTGACTTATCTTTTCCTTCAGTCTTTGGCTTTGATCAAATATTTTATTTTAGAACATTGTTAACTGAATGCATATAAATAATTTCGATGCTGTTTATTGCATACATCTCTAGAGATTGGGCATTGCATTTTGCATGTCTGAGCCTATTTTTTTTTTTTTAATCACAAAAATAGCCCTAATCGTGACATTTAAAAGACTTATCTGCAAGGAACATTAATTATAAGCACAATATATATATATATATATATATTTATATATATATTTCTATATATATGTATATATATAAAAAAAGATATATATATATATATATATATATATATGTATATGTATATGTATATGTATATGTATATGTATATATATATATATATATATATATATATATATATATATATATATATATATTAAAACATATCAACAAATTTAAAAAATGGATTAATGCATATGAAAAAAGATATACAAGTAAACAAGCATAGCAGCAAGTTACATTACACAAGTAAACAAGCATAACAGCAATTCACGAAACACAAGTAAACAAGCATAACAGCAAGTCACGATGATTTTTTTTTTTGACACTTAGGTGTGACTGCACCATCAAACAATCAGTTATCTATATGTTCCTTAGTTAAGCATGCATTTATTTCATGGGCAGAAAGGATAATAACTCTTTCTAAATATCAAAAATGAATATGATGCAATAGCGAAGCCAAATGTCCTTGTACCTTAAGTTTTCCTGGCTTCATTTTATCGCGTTAGATGTATCATGTTATTTTCGCAAACACTTCTCAACCTCCCACAAGAAAGAATATACAACTAAGTGAATGCCGAATGATCCTCCTTCTAAATTCTTTTTTTTGATTCCTGATTCTTACAAACTGCATTGCTTCCTGAAGTACTCATAATTTGCTCAAAGTATGAGTATGTATGTATGTATGTATGTATGTATGTATGTATGTATGTATGTATGTATGTATGTATGTATGTATGTATGTATGTATGTATGTATGTATGTATGTATGTATGTATGTATGTATGTATGTATGTATGTATGTATGTATGTATGTATGTATGTATGTATGCGCATGTGTGTGTTGACTGAATAGAATAGGTAATGTATGTTGATTTAATAATTAGAGTCTACTAAGCTTTTACAGAAAAAAAAACGCAGTGACTTGTATCCAATTTATGGTAAGATCATATCACAAGTTGTTGTTTTTTTTAAATTCTAATGATGTATGGCACGATACTTGTATCTGTTAACTATGCATGATGTTACACGTTCTTTACTCAGCGTGATTTCTGGCCAAGGGAAATCTTCTAAGAAAGTGAATGAAGAATTTTAATATATTTGTAGCAGTGCGGTAACTGATTTTATTACTGACAAAATGGTTCCAATAAATCATTGAAACACAATCTTTTCTTTACGTTCAAGGCAAATTAATTTTTGAATATCTTTCCTCGATAAGAATTTAAAATCTTGCATGCTGAAAATATAACTCAGAGGGTATTACGAGACAAGCAGGTTACAATAAACAATCGTATATTTTTCTTCGAATTAAACTCAAGTACTACAAGTACTTCTACTACTACTACTACTACTACTACTACTACTACTACTACTACTACTACTACTACTACTATTACTACTATTACTATTGCTACTGGTGTGTATGCTGCTACTCACTCTCCATGATGCCGATGATGGCACAAACGTTTTAATGACCAAGATGAAAACTAATTTATTTTCCGTCAGATGATTTGCAACTTTCCTCTTTAATTTCATTGGCAGTGCAATATTATTATGAAATAAAATTATACAAGGTTTGTTTAATGAGATAATTTCATTTTATATTGTAAATAAACTGTTGGTTAGTGTTTTATTACTGTTTTTAGATGTAACACATTAATCTCTACAATCTTTATGCAGAACATCTTGTACATTCTTAAAGTCCTTGAAAATTTCTGACTTTATAGGAATTATTATTAATGACAAACTATTTAAGCTAGATAAAAGCAAAGACCTTAAAAACAACTACCTTCAATATTAAATTAAACGCTGACGTCTGACAGACTTTGATTGAGGTTCCAAATTTTCAAGTATGTGATGTGATGTTATTGTGATTTTTAACGTAATTTTAAAAAATTTTCAGTCCTATCACTACGATGTCTGCAGTGTTACAGTTTATAGTGATGTCTAGCACTGAGACATCATGCCGCAGACATGAAGCATGATGTCCCACCCATTCACATTATCCTGACACCAGGCCGACCAGTCCTAATACTAACCTCTTAATGCCGAGCGTCAAGCGAGGCAACTATTAGTACCATTTTGTAAGTGTTTTGTATGTCTCGACCAGGGATTGAAACCATGACCTCCCTCATCCGAAGCGGACGCTCTAACCACTAGGCCACCGGAGTGTTTTTTCAAGTATGTCTTTGTATGTTAAGTGATACATGAACTTTTTATAATGAGTGATTAGCTATATGCATATTCTTTGAACCAGCTATCGATGAAACTATAAATCAATTTACCTTAAATCTTCCAGAAGCGTTGGCGGTGTTAGTTAAACTATTCACTTAGTACATCCACATCGAACGCGTTAACACAGCATCTTTTTATAAGCCCTGATCACCAAATCTATGCAGGTTTTCTCTAGTTTTATATTTTAAAGGAACTTTATTCGCCGCAAATATTTCCGAAAGTGTTGTCCGCGTGCCAGAAATTCCGTTTTAAATTGGTTCTTACATTATTCTCCAACACATCCAATTCTTCCACAAAATAGTCAACAAACAAACAAAGTGAGTGTAAACAGATTCAGACATTTGATTAAGTTATTCTTATCATCGTTGAGATTGGTGTTGTACTGCCGGTCGGTTGTGGTACCTGATATGATGAAAATTGATCCTCGGCATCAAACATAGTTGCAACTTCTTGCTGAATACGTTGATCCCGTCTTCCTATCTCAACTCTAATGCCTGGAATCACGTGGCAATGAAAAATCATAGCCATTTGTTCAGCCGCCAGGTATAGCGTCATTCTTGGAATAAACCTGACCAATCAGAGTATGCTCGACCTTCCTGCTAAGAAAACCTGAGATGCATAACAAAACTTCAGTCAAGCAAAAGAACTAATCTCGTGATGTGATCATGTGACAAACTGCGGGTCTTTATGCATATGTTTATATAAGTAAACAATAAAAAAAATCTGCATATTTCAGAGTTCAACTTTATTTCAAATGAAAATGATAGTTTATGTTTTTTATCAAAACTGACAGTTATGGGCAATACTTTTGTTAATTTTTCTCTGTTTAGGTTAGGTTCTTGTCTAGACGATTTGAAAGACATTCTATACTTACATTACTTATGGTTTAGGAGAAAGTTTTAAAAAAAAGAGGCAATAAACGTTTTCACACAAGCGTGTCTTGAATACAGCGCTCATTGCTGATTTCAACTCCAATCACTCAGTGCAACATGTTTCTTTAATTTTTTAGATGGATACTAAATGTTTCTGTTCACAGCGCCCTAAGTTTTATTTTGTTCGCACGAGTTAGTACTTCCGCTTCAAATAACAAATTGGGGGGGGGTGCGAAATGGAGTTTTGTCGCGGGTTTTACTGGAAGACAATGACAATGACAATAATGTATTTAATTACCAAAATCCTCTTTAGCTTGAGAAAAATAAAAGCTTGCAACCACTTCCTTTTTACTTTTGAATAATTTTAACATTCCTATGAACCTGTCGTCTGCTTTCCTTTGCGTAAACAAATGTGATATCAAAAACAGTAATCAATTCTTCAAATAACCTCAACAATGTATTTAAATTATTTTCTCTTCCTGAACTTTGAGAATAGCGAAGCATTCGATGTGAAAATACCAACAGTATATGACTGGAGAACACGGGTGGAGTTAAAGTCATTAAAGTATACATTACTATAGTAGACATGAATAAATGTTCTCTCCTAAAGAACGGATAATTTGGGGGTTTTATACTAATTGACAAAAACCATCATATTGTATGAAATGAACTGTTTTCGTTCTTTTTTTTATTCCATCAGCTTGCTATTGTTATGATAAAGGCGATTTGACGCACCGGTGAGAGCTAAATGTTCATTACTGTAAACAATTCGCGTGAGAATTTTATATATAGAATGCTTGATAAAGGAGATGTTTGATTGTGATCATTCTTGTTGACATTTTTAAAAATACAGATTGCATTTTCCATGAGTATAAATTCGAACATTCATCATTTATCACAGACGCCTCAATATATATTTATGCAACACACTTTAAAACATATCTGATAATAAAGTGTTCTATTTCTTTTCAAAAGATTGTTGTTCCACATCCATATATCAGTTTGTTTTGTCTGTTGAAAGATAAATGATTTGGTCTTCTCGCAACTTGAATTCATTTAAGTTTATTATGGTGCTCCTTGTACTATATGGCTTCGCTATTCTGCAGTAAGTGTACTTTTCTGTCCCCGTGGGATTATACTATTCTTTTTTTTTAATAAAAATGTCTATATCATCTTTGCGTTCTCACCTTTAAGATACATGCATTCTGCGTTTTATCTAACTCAGAAAAAAAATCACAGCATATTGTAGCGATTTAAATAATATTTTTCAATGATTCATGTGGCTTACATTCTTTTTAAGCACCTAGTGTCCCGGGACAGTTTAACGTGATATATAGTTGTGCGTAAATCAAACTTAATAAGGGCTGCAACAAAGAACATTGTAAGAACATCACTAGACAACAAGATAAACCTTTATTTATACCAACATCTACACCGAGTATATCATGTTATCTCCACGAAAGATATATATGATACGTCCTTTCTAACACAGAAATTGATTTGATATTCAGATATTGCTTTCCATTCTTGGTTAATAAATGCAACAAGAATGGTGGAACCTCATATGGAGAGATACGACACTGCAAAACCTGGTTTCTCCTTCTTAAGAGCAAAAATAGGATCCTCCTAGTTTCAGTCAAGCAAAACAGTAACGTATTGTATAATCATCAGAAGCGGTCGGTTGGGAGCGTTTGGGAATCAACCATGGCAGCTGATACACTTTGCAGACATGATAAGTATTACTATGCATGTCTGTCCTTTGCGTAATATCTAGGCATTTAGGGTTTATGCAACCTCTATCGCTTTAGGTGAGAGTTTAAAAAATGGGGACCAAATGGGTAACCAAGCCATAAAACACTCAATAAATGTTATTTGCAGCATTTATTTTCAGGAAAAAATAACCTAATCATATTAGTTGTCATATTACGTAGTCACCTACCTTCGCGTGGTTTTATCATGAAGCTAAAATTAATCTAACGATGGAAGAAACAAATTACAAACCAACAGAATAATAATAATAATAATAATAATAATAATAATAATAATAATAATAATAATAATAATAATAATAATAATAATAATAATAATAATAATAATATAGCAGCAAAGGTCCGAAAACAAACGTATATATAATACCAGACTCTATATTATTTCTTAAATTACACCAAGAACAAGCGCCATTTGATGAGTTGTTATCATGAAACAGAAACAAATATAAATTTATGGCGCAATAAAGATTCCAACGTCTTAAAGGCAGTTTCGAGTTTTAAACATGAATTAATAATAGTCCTCAATTTGTATGACATTTCTTTTATGAACATTGATAAAATATTCAGTCAAAGAGTAAATTTGTGGAAAAAGATAAGTACTTCTCATCACTTAGAAAACCACTGAACTTGTTCTGATAGAGTCATGATGGTAGGAAGCGCAAATACTTGCATGATCAGGCCGGTTTTAACTTATTTAATTCGAGTTACTTAGTTGTCAGACGGACTCTTTTGGAGACATTTGAAAGATGCAAGTTGTCGAGTTACACTATTTATGCATTTAATACCATCATTAAGCACCAGATCTGAAAAGTGATAAAAAAAATGTAAATATGAACAAAACGTTATGCCATGTTTGGTTTCGGATTGCACAATTCTGCTTAAGATTTGGTGGTTGAACCTTGATATCAACTTAATATCAACTTAACATCTAAATATGGTAACGCGACTCATATAAAAGAGGCTTGATTTATTATGTCTTTATTACCTGAAAAAGATCTTACATACAATCAATTAGAAAGCACGAGTTTAAAGAAATTTCGTTAGCATTTGTCAACAGTTCAAAGCAAACACTGTCATTTCAAATCAAGCCGAACACATAGAGTCGGAATAATCATATACCAAAGAACTCTTACCCACCGATTAACTTTACATAAAAGAGGTACTTCGTTTCAAATCAAACACAGCACGGAGAGAGAGAGAGAGAGAGAGAGAGAGAGAGAGAGAGAGAGAGAGAGAGAGAGAGAGAGAGAGAGAGAGAGAGAGAGAGAGAGAGAGAGAGAGAGAGAGAGAGAGAGTCTGCATGTCTCGTCATGGGCGTTTGCAGTTCACCTCTAAACATGTTTTGGTCTACATTCGTAAAATCTTATAGCTGACCACAACATATATCCGTCTCTCTCCAAAATAAATTTGCCGATGCCCTGATCAAACTAGAGCACCTAGACCCTACTTAACAGATGCAGACAAAAATGTAATTACATATTATATAAAGAAAAGAATGCCCCTAGAAACGACATGTCGTTTATATTGCACCTAATTTAAAAAGCAATTTGACTATCTTACCAGCGAATTTTACTGCCCACCAATTTTAAGTCGGAATCTGGCGCAAATATTTATTCCAATTTATGCAATATATATATATATATATATATATATATATATATATATATATATATATATATATATAGAGAGAGAGAGAGAGAGAGAGAGAGAGAGAGAGAGAGAGAGAGAGAGAGAGAGAGAGAGAGAGAGAGATGGGAGTGCAGTATATCCTTCCGACAAAACGAGTTCATATTTTCCCATGCAAATACAGTAACCTTTTTATTATATGCTCATTTCTTATTCTTCCCACGGCTTAAATATATGAATAAAAATACACTGAAAGAAACAAAGTAACTAAATGTATGCTGTATTCCGAACTAAATACATAAGCGTTGATGGATCATTACACAACATTATTAATGAACGCATAACCCTGTCCAGATAAATATGAAGTTGGTCGCGCGCTAGACGTAAGTTTCGAAAGAAAATGGCGCTTGCTGTACTTGAAATTGAAATTTGGAGTAATATTGTTAATGAATACGCATTGCAACAACTTTTTAATTTGATGTGGAATGAATACCTTTTGGTATTTTTGTGGATTCAACGCAATTTTTGGATTAATGTATTAATATATCTACATGAAGTGACATGCATCGGTTTCCAGCAGCGTCTGCTAATTTAATGTTTTGAATTGTGTTTACATCTGCATACGTGTTTCTTTTCTGTCATTGAATGATTCAGATCATAATGTGGGAA